GGGGGGGGGCTCCTCCCACATTGGCCAACCGAGAGGCAGAGAAAGCAGGTCAGAACCGGAAGTGGATGCGACTGGAGGCCCACCCACGAGCGATCTACTGTGACCGGTGGGGCTTCCACGTCCACAAGGTCCCACACCCTCCCCAAAACACTGCCACCAGCTGAGGACCAGGTGTTCAATCCCATCAGCCCATGAGCAACATTTCACATTCAAACAGCGTTGAGAGGTTTTCACAAGGTCAGTCGCCCAGCTTTCTGAGCTCTCTTCTACCACTCACTCACTTGACCACGGAGCTTCCCAAATACCACTCTGTCTCCAGCTGGATCTGCTGAGTGACCTGGAAACTCTCGGCCAGCAAGGCTCTTTCCTGGAGGGATGCATTCGGCTCCTCCAGCCCCTGGGGGGGGGGGGGCTGCCTAGGGACATGTAAGGTTGTGTTCCTCTGGCCGGGGGCTTCGCCATTCATCCACGCCGAAGTCTCTGGCTCTGGACTCTGCTGTTCTCCAGGCCAAGCAGATGGTAAATTGAACCCTTACAGTTAAAACCCATCTATATAGAAAGGGCTGAGCTGGTGCCAGGTCTATTTCCCCAGGACTTGGCTGGCCACCTCTTCCTTTTGGCACATCTGTAGAGGGCTTTCCCTTTGTTAGATCAGAAGGACCTGGAGGCATTGCCATCTCACACCAGGACAAGCCAAGACGGAGGCAGCACTGAGGGCTCAGCATTCACGTAGCCCACGGGAAACTGTCCCTGCGTGGCTTATAGGAAGGTGCAAAGAGAGCCCACAGGACACCTTGGCCCAGGTGCAGCAGGCCATACTGTTAGTCACGCAAACTGAGATATAAAGTCTCCATGATTAATTACACCTCCAGTCAGAACCACAGAGGGCAATAACCAACAGGGGCTTGCCCTGCTAATTAAAATAAGTTTTTGATAAACGTTAACTATAAAAAGGCTAACTGGGAACCCCAGCCGGGAATTGCTATACTCTGTGATGATAATACTTACTCCTGAAGCAGAGAGGGACTAACAGGATACAAATTGCACGTTAGTTCCCTTTCCCCTCCCCACAGCATGCTGGAACTTTCCCCTAAGTCCACTCCAAGGTGATGGTTAATAGTGATTGTCAACTTGACAGGATCTAGATCACTTGGAGGTAAATCTCTGGGCACGTGTGCAAGGACTTTTCTAGAATAGGTGAACTGAGGTGGGAGGATCTACTCTCACTGCTGGATTTCATAAAAAGCAGAGGACCAGCCGACTACCAGAATCCACCTTTCTCTCTTCCCAACCAATGTGACCAGCTGCTCCATATGCCTGCCACCAGCCACCTGCCGGGATGGCCTGGACCTTCAGACTCTGAGCCCAGAATAAACCCTTCCTTCCGGAAGTTGATTTTGTCAGGTGTTTTGTCATAGCAATGAGAAAAGAAACTAACCCACCCTTCAATGCTGTGTGTAGTGGCTTTTTGAGGCAGGGTCTTCCCGTGTAGCCCACACTGGTCTAGAAGCTGTGATCCTCCTGCCCCAGCATGCAGAATGCCAAGATCACTTTCCTCCAATGAATGGCCATTTCAATGGGAAGAAATTTAGCTCGACATTTGGATTTGAGATCTATAGTTCAATGTTTCCTGAACTTAGATCCTACGAGCGTTTTTATATATTGAACAGTTTCAGGGAACATTGTCCCAGAGGAGGATATGTTAAGGGATCCTATTTGTGTGAAATGTGCAGGTCTGGGATTTCTATGGAGACAGAATGTGGAGCAGTGGGTTCCCAGGGTTATGGTAGGGTTGGGCTTAGAAGGTAGGGGTGACAGTTAACATAAAAATTTCCTTTTAGGGTACATATCCATTAATATACTTTTAAGTTATATTTTATTTATATCCACCCATCCAGCTATCATGCTATCATCTATCTATCTATCTATCTATCTATCTCTGCATCCACCCATCTATTTGTCTGTCTGTCTGTCTATTGTGTGTGTGTGTGTGTGTGTGTGTGTGTGTGCATGTGTACACACGAGGTGTGATGGGTCAGAGGACAGACAATTTGTGGAAACTGACTCTACCCTTCCATCAGTGTGGCTCCCAGGGACCACCCTTGGTAGCAAGCAATTTTACCTACTGAGCTATCTCACTGATCCAAATCTATGACTAAAACAGCACCCTCGAAACAGGTGAATCCTCGGGTCTGAGATCTATACTTCAATGGAACTTTCAAACAAAATCAAGCCTAGGAGCTTTCAGAGCATACATACTTGAGCACTAAGTGAAGACTCAACTTAAAAGGTCAACTGTGGTGAGTCAGTTTTCAGAGAGTGAAAACAGAAGCCTCAGTGGAAATCATGGCTGGAAGGGTCAATTCTTGCTTTGTTAGCAGTCAGCACCCAAAGTGCTATTTTTAAAGCCTTTGCTCCTGGCACCAGAATGTACCGCAAACACAGCGATTTATGCTGTTCCCCTGCAAAGTGGCTCGATTAGAGGAAGTTGGCTCTTACGTTCAGTCTGGCATGCACGTAGAAAGCCAGAGGACAAAGGTTCTCATGGCAGGGCAGAGGGATGGGGTCTCGGCGTGTGTCCTACACCTGTCCCGGTTAAAATTTAGGGCTAGACACATCCAAAACTCACCATGCTGAGAAGAGAGAGTGTGAGAATAGGAACTTTTGAGTAAACACCACAAAAGAGTTTAACAGTCACAAAGACCACTACTAATGCCTACTAGGGGAAAAGACCAAGGGAAAAAAAAAAACCAAAAAAACAAAAAGGCCTCTGGTGAGCGGCAGTCAAAAGAGCCACAGATGGAAGAAAGGAAAATTACCACATGAACTGTGTGCTAAAGGTTAGCATCAGAGTGGTGCCAAGCACATCATTCACAGCTTCATTTAGTCCTTGTGACGTAATGAGAAAGGGATTGGGCCCTTGTCTGTGGTTCCTGGGATAATGCTCTTGTAATTCTTGGACTGTCTTTACTATCCGTAAGGAACCCCTTCCACCGCACCCTAATTTGTGTTGATGAGGTGAATTGAGTTGCTGCCCTTGTACAAAATGGGGCAGGTTATTAGAACAACGATGTGATTAAAGTCCCAGCCACTCCTCTCCAGGAAGAGTGTCTTCTCTCTTGAAGAGTGTCGGAGGGCCAGGTCTCCAAAAACTTTTAAACAATAAGACTGGTGATTAGGAGAGCATCCAAGTCAGTGGACACACTGACCTTCTGGTTCAGCAGGTGTATGAGTCAGTTTTCCATTATTGTGACAAAACACCTGAGGTGAATGACCTACAGGAAGTGTTTGTTTGTTGTTTTGACTCGTGGCTTCAGGAGTGTCAGCTCACAGGCACTTGGTCCTGTTGCTCTGGGCCTGTAGTGTAGTTGAACAGTAAAATCACGGTGGGGATGAAGTTAGGTGTTCCCCTTTCCACCATCTGTGTCTTGGGGATTGAACTCAGGTCATCAGGCTTGGTGGCAAGCTCCTTTAGCCATGGAGTCATCTTACCAGCCTTTTCCCTAGTCTTCTATGAGAGCAGTAAGGGAGAAGCGGAGGCTTCATCTCTTCATATTCTTGGCTCAGCCAACAGTCTGCGGACACTCCTGATTTCTCTACTCAGTTATCTCGGAAGACCCCCGTGGTATGGTTTTGAGGCTGGGCGAGTCAGGACCCTCTCATCTCCAGGTAGGAAGGGGTTGGAGATGGATCTGGGTGGTAGTAAGAGGTTCTCTCCAAATAGGCCCAGGAAGTACCTGACCTCAGCGATTAGCTGCCCGAAGACTGAAGGGCCATAGCTCCTCTTGTCCCCAGCGTGGGGCCTGGTTCCCAGTTCTAGTACAATAAATGATATCTCCTGAACACCCTGTTATGTAATGCAGCACAATTCCTTTTCACACAGATATCAAGATGACTGCTAATTACAGACAATGAGATTATTCAAGGACACACTAGAAAGACCCCCCCCCCCTTACAATCTGTGAAGACAGAAGGACAGGAAGCAGTATCCTAACACCCCTGAGCCAAGCCCTCCCTCCCTCCCCCATCTAGGAAGCCAGGTAGGAACCAGACGGGTTTGCAACCTTTGAGTCTGTGCTGCCTTTGAGATTGTCCTCACCCAAGCTGAGTTTAGTTATAAAGGATCATCAGTAGCCCTGGTCTATGTTGAGACTATACAATCTGGCCCCCAGATAGCTGAAGTTTATTATAGCAAAGCCCAATCAGAGACATTCTTTGTGAGTATGAATATGTATGTGCACAGGTGTGCATGGAAGCCAGAGGTGGATGTCAGGTGTCTTTTTCTATTGTTCTCTATTTTGTTTATTTCATGTATACATGAAATACATAATATATACGAAAATATATGTATATACATACATACACAGACTTAGATCCACCTGCCTTTGCCTTCCTAGGGCTGGGATTAAAGGTCTATGCCACGACTGCCCCATTTTCTTATTATTTTAAAAATTATGTACGTGTGTGTCCGTTTTTGCTCCTGCATGTGAATGCAGTGACCT